TCGTGGAACAACATTATTTGTTCGCAGGTACAGCTTGGATTGAATTGACAAGAAGAACTACCCAATTATGTGGGATTCTCTGCAATTGTGAGCCACACCGCTGTGAGTCACAAGTCATATGGGGGCGGAAAACAAAAAGACTCCACTCACACGAAGCACACTCACAACAGCAAAACAAAATGGGTGTGGCGCGGCCAAGGGAAATAAGCCCCAAGAAGACCCACCAACCCCCAAAAGCCAAAAAAGATGGGCTCCGAAGGTCCTTTTCCGCAGGTCTGTCCTGGTAATCACGTCCTTTGGACAAGCTGAGTGCTTCAGCTGATAAAGAGCGCTGCGCACATCAATTGCCATGTGCAAGCCATGTAGCCGCTGATTAACTGCTGATTAGGCGTCAGCTCATGCAAAAAGGGTGAGCTTTGGTGATACGAATGACAGCAAGGGTGGTTCTTGCTAAAACCCTTGCTTCGGTAAGCCTCGTGCCTTCAAGGCCGTCTAGCTGGAATTTATGCTTAGAACGCCCATGTAACAAGCGTGTCGCCATCTTCGTCAACTTCCAATGGCTCCAGCGCAGCATCCTGCGCAACCTCCAAAGTAGAAAAGGGCGGTGCGTCTTGATTCTCCGCTAGAACATCACTTCTTTTCATTCTGCTCCGCTCACATCTGAGAATGGGAGAATAGAGCAACACAACCAGTGCCAAAACCACCAGAAATGGGACAAAAGGAAGCAGGCTATTTTCTGGAGTCAGAAGGTCGACTGCGTAAATAGAGGCCCAGGAAATTGTAACTGCGAGAACAATGACCGGGCTCATCCACAGTGATGCAAGCACACTGGGTCGGGAATGAAGCTGCCAAAGCCAAATGGAGATGGGGTGTGCCAGCAGAACACACAAGCCCGGTTGGACCCACACCACCACCCTGGTCATACACCAAATGGCCAGATCGAAGCCCAGAAGCGAATCCTTCGGCCCGTTCTTCAACGTTGACATCAGCTCTGAAAGGTATGGCACAAGGCTCACCACGCAGACCGACACGATCTGCTTGAAAGGGGCTTCCACAGTCGCTCGTCCGATGATGTCTGCCGCGATTACGCGAACACGCTGATTGAAGCTCTCCAATGCGGTCGCCTCCGGGCCTCGCATTGTCGAGTCGTACATCAGCGTCAACGATTCGTAGACCAACTCTCGATCACAGGGCAGCTCACTACTCGTTCGTGGGTCTTGATGGTAGTTCGCGCAGCAGAAGCACTGAGTTTCCTGCACCCGGAAGTTTTGCAACCGACTGGGAAGTTGCATTACGCTTTGCGCAAGGCTCATGCCCAGATAGTTCACAAGCATCAAGAGAGGAATTGTAAAGGACGCCATGAAGGTGGTCAGAGCGATCCAGTGATTCATCGAGCCAGTAGCGTAGAATTGGTCCATCATGGAAAAGCTGGCAAAGAATGCAAACATAACTATGTGCCACAAGATCGAAGTCAGGAACAGCACGCAGCTCCCCTTCACCGATAGGAATTGCACCGTGCCTTTGTAAACGGGGCTCAGAAAGCAAGCAATCTCAAAGCTGCACCACAAGCGGTTGAAGTATTCGGGCGACCATAATACCAACACCTGCTTGGATCTCATCGCAAAGGCGCCAAGTCCGAGAATGCCTTTCTCCTTTTCCTGTGGGTCAAACTGATTGATGCATAGCTTGTCGAAGAAAACCATGAGTGGTCGAGAGAAAAGCTGAATCCTCTGCCAGAAGCAAAATACCAGGAAATACGCGAGGAAGGAGAGGGACACCGTCCACAGCTGATCTGACATGCCGAAAATGCGCAGCAGGCCTACGCCGAAACTGACTATGAGCGTTGTCAATGCAGCCGCGCTGGAGTTGAAGAAAATCAGCAAAGTGACAATTTCGGGATTCGCGAAGTTCTCCAGTCATGGCTCAGAAAGGCATCAAACTCGGAGACTTCCTGGCTGACATCGGTCATGTCAGTGAAGAGGGCTTCGTGGGAATTGCGCCAATGCCGGCCCCATCCACTGAGAGCCACATACAAAGGAGCAGCACGTACCTGGAAGCTTCAATCCGCGCAAAAGTTGATTTGTTTGCCAAGAAGTTGAACTTGCTTAGAAAAACAATTCTTCATTCCCCCCAAACAAAAATATATATAAAAAGATCCAAGCCAGCAGCTCCAAGGTACCAGTTTCTTGTCGATGTCCTCCGGGTTGATAGATAGACTGGATCGAGAGCTGAGGGAGCCGGTGCGCTGCACCAGCTCCGGCTCCCAGCAGTCGGGCTCAGCCATGGCCGATTGGCCGATGGCCTCGTCGGCAAAGCGCCGGAGAGGATCGTCTGAGCGGGGAAGCCGAAGCCGGAAGGCCCGGAAGTCATTAAAAAAAAGGCGCGCTGCGCCTAGTTCTCGGTCTCTGTCTGCCTGGAGTTCATGACCCTTTAATTTTGGGGACATGGCCCTTAAAAAATGGGGGCATTACCCAAAATTAAAGGGTTACGACCCCTTTTTCTAGGGGTCATGGAGACTCTATCTATCTCTATCTCTATCTCTATCGATCTAGTGGTCTTTCTTAAAATAGGAATCGGTACCAAGACGCTTGCCTGTTGGTCTTAAGGGGAGCGTTTTCATCTGCATTTGTATGAGGTACCCGTGAACGCCGCAACAAAGCTAGGGCTGAACTTCCAATTGGCCAGAAGCCTGCTCTGCAAGCTGCACTAAGTCATACAACTCGCTTCTCTTCCATTTGGCTAAGACCCCTGGAAAAAAACAAATATGTCCAGTAGTGATAGATTACCTTTAAAACCAACGAGGAAAAACAAATCTTAAGCAATTGGAAGTACTGAAGTAGAAAGTACAGCACCTAGGGAAGGATGATCATCCCCGCTGCTCGCAGCACGAAAGCAAGCTAGGAAACCAAAGAGAGCGTGTAGACTGTGATAACGTGTGGCAGCCCCCAAGGGGGCCAGCCGAAGCTGACCCACCCAAAGAGCAGCCCAAATACTTGTCCACTTTAACCGGCGACCAACCCCTTTTTCATATATTTCTTTGACAACTGGTGGGCTCAGTATACTGCCCGGGAGACACACACACACACGCACTGGTTGGGCCGTGATCAAACTGATGAAAAATCAGAGCGGCTTGATGTTTGCGAACTCAACAGGTGCACGTAGCTACATAAGAGACACAATCGGTCCAAACGGCTTTTCAAGCGAAGAGCACCCTCAGCTCAGTTCGCGAAATGCCTCTGGCTCATCAGCGGCGCCCAGCGAGAGCAGTGTCAGCAACAGCCTGCAGCGCTCAAAGCCAAGGAGTTGAGTAGACATTTCGGTTTGGTCATCCCAGAAAGGCCACATGCTGTGTGCCACCTGCAACGCCGGTAGCTGGACCTTTCAAAGTTCGCGCAAGACTCTTCTGACATCTTGTGGCCCTTTGCATTGCTTCCCTTGGAAGGTCGGCAAAAGGCCGAGGGCCTAGACTTCTGACGCATGTAATGTTCTGGCAACACATTTGGCAAAACAAACAGATATATCTCCCATACAACTCGCAACATTGCAATGAGGCAACTTTAACATCCAAAACCCGGCAAAGGAACTTCATGGTCAGTTCGTTTTAACACCCCCGGAACGTTGCACCTTACGCCACACAGGTGCGAGAGACCTATTGAAACACCGCTCTGGCCTGGTGGTCCACATGCCAGCCATGAGATCGGAACTATGCGCGGTCTGCTTGATAACGATTCTGCAGGGCACACCGTTTGATTCCTTAAAGTTTCCCTGAGGAAACAATCCTATCCGCAGAGACATCTCAGATTGACACCTGTCTCTTGCGGCCCATGCTCTCTCATGACAGTTGGGCTCAATACGCTGCAGTCAAGCTTGAACAGAGCGCAGGCAAAGCGGTGAGACTGGCTCTCCGGGCAAACTTGCTACAATTGCCAGCTGAGCGGTGCCGAACATGGGGTACATAAAACCCTCTACTACCAAGCCGCTTTCACGGGGAACCTTTCACGGAGCCTTTCGCGGCACACGTTTCACTTTCGCAGGCATGTGTCTTGTATATGATCATATTCCCGAAGCTTTCGCGAGCAGAAGCTACAAACATCTTTGGCGCAGCTGTCGCGGCTCTTCGACCACTTTCGCCGGGCTTGCTTTCGCGGGCGTCCGCGCCCCGGGTGTTCGCTTTCGCGAGCCTTCGCTCGGAGTGGCCCTTAACTCCTCTCATACGGGTTTTTTGGCGCCCAGCTGGCATCCGTGGCTCGTTTTCCGTGAGCTCGTGCAGAGCTATGCCGCGCAGCCGAGTGGTTTGTGGCTAATAGGGCACCCACAGGTGCCGTGGTCGCTGTCGCTTGCCTGACAGAGGCACACCAACCTGACGGAATCCTCAGGTTGTCAAACTGTGAGAGACACCAAGCAAGCGATCAGCTGTTTGGCCACAGAGAACATCCGCCTCCGCTGACAACTTGGGTGTTCAAACTACTTTGTACTACTTAGATCATGTTAATTACAAGTCGCTGTCAGCGTGAGGTGGTTGACTTACAACCCAGGCTGGATGACTCAATTCATCTGGAGGTAGACCAAACAACAGTAGCGTTGGTCCAATCAAAACAGTAGAAAGTATGACCTTCCAATCAGGTTTAAACTTGCTTTGCAAAATAGGACCCCATCAGCGGTGGTTTCCTTTTTCGGTTCCCTGTAAAACCAAGTTGAAAAGGGTACCTTCAGACAGCACAAACAAAAATTACTGCCAGATGCACGCGAGCACTGCTGCCATGTGCCGCCCTTTTTGCAGCCGAAGCACTCGGTGCGCGCGATTTCGATTTCTCGCGGCCTTGCAGCAGTCAAAGGATGCTGCCCCTGCGTTGCCCATGTGGGACTTCCTGCTTGAGCGCCCCCGAAACCATACTTACTTGTCGCAAAACCCTGTCCCCTTTACTGAAGTGACATGAACTTATGTCAAACAACATTAAGACATATGAAGGAGCTTGAGGTTCAGAATGCCGGCTGGGACCAAGCCGATGGAAGGGGGGGAGCCTCTCCTCTCATGAAACCTGATGATCAGTGCCATGTTGAGTGGCACGGCCAACAGGGGGGTGCTATCTTGGAATCTGCTTCAACGTCGAATGCAAGCTCCTTCTCGATTCAACACATTGCCCCAAGAGACTCCAACTTATGGCGCCAACAACCTGCAAGGGATCAAACTCGGAAAGTCGGACCAATTCCTATGGCAAAGCCTTGCATTAGCCTAGCCCTGTGATTCCGTGTTTTTCCCCCTTTTTTTCCTGAGGTAAAGGCAACTACCACTATCACCAAAAGAAAAATGGCAGGTCAACCCTCTAGGTGGGGATGTGGAAGCTCTACCCCCAGTGAAAGCTCTGACCAAATAGCACCCCCCCCCTCAAAAACCCAAATAATTGGAAATAATTATAATAACAAGAAAGATCCGGCCAAGTATCCAGGAAACTAGCTACAGGAAATTCGACAGGAACTCACTGTTTTGTTGGGTGATTGACAAAAACTCCCGCAACCACTTCTGTCGCTCCTTATTAAACAACCTGGCAACCCACGCAGCCGACTGCCGCACTCCGCCTCGCCTCCACCTAGCGCTGCTGGATCTCCTAGCGGATGGAGCAGTCGGAAAGTGGCAATGGGTTGGTTGATTTGCAACATGGTCACAACCTGCCTAATCTATGCGTTGGAACATCCAAGTAGTGGAGCCCAGGATGAGTCATTAACCCCCTGGTTGACTGATAGGCGCGTCACATCGCGTCACTTAGTTTAGTTGAACAGTTGCTCACTTTCTGAGTGGATTGGCCAAACAAAACGTCTAAACTGGTCGCCCATGAACCTTAGCCCAGGGCGCCATGAATACCAAACAAACCAGCCAGAATCTAGAATATGAAAAACTGGGTTAGGTGAGAAATGGGGGGGGGTCACCTTTCACACGGCCAGGATATGGGAAGCCAGCCATCGGGCCCACGATGGACATAGGCGCGTGAGCAACTGCATGCGGCCTTTGAGAGGATGGAATTGGGCACTGTTGGGTCTCTCTGATTTCGAGGGTAGCTGTTTTGCTTGGTGGTTTTTCAGGGGAACCAAAATGAGCACCGAAGCCATTTTGGGGGGGTGCAACCTTTAAAGATACATCCTTATGTGCGTGCAAGGAGCCCCTGCGAGGGGGAACTGGAACTAACGCAAACGATCAGATGGGCCGTGACCATGACTCTTGGACTGGAAACTGCAGCACGTATGGTATACAATGCCGAACTCACTGTCCCTTGATATGGGGACGTCAAATTAAATAACCCCTCCAAATGGTACACGCAATTCTAAATGATGTCAACATGTGGGGGAAGCAACAGTTTTTCTTTTGGGCTCTGAGCTGAATAGGCAAAGGGTTGCTCAAATAATTCTGAGGCATGGACTTCGAAAAAATAGCAAACCATTAAGGGAAACCAAAGGAACCGCAAACCAATCGAAACCAAAGCAAACCCTAAACCAAGTACGAGTACCGATCCGTGGTCTGATCATTCGAGCTATCCTCGTATGAGATGCGACCGACTGCCGGTCCTTGCAGGCCTGTCGAATGCGGCCAACCTTAGCGGTGGCGGCCTCGTAGTCCGCCTGACTATACGTGCCACGCAAAATTCCTAGGTTAAAGGGCTTCCTTTTGGCTTCTCCTATTTGGCTACACATGCAATGCAATCACCGGGAGTACCTGAGGATGGATGACCAATTAACTGGAACATTGACGACTTGCTACGTGGAGTGGGGGGGCCCGCGAAAGGATGTACTTCAGGGTCAACCAGAGGCCAATCTATATTCGCACAAGGTTCCTCAGGGAATAGTCTAGCTGACTCCCTGCACAAAGCGATTGATGATTTACTACTTCGCGGAGAACCAATCAAGTCCAAACATGGCTTCAAGGCATGAGTATCGGTGTATGCTGTATGCACTACTTGTGGACAAAAACATGATCAACCCACGTCACTATTACTTACAAACATAGCACCAGCTTTGTATGAAGCACGGTCAAATATTACGTACACACAATGTCTTTGTTGCCTGGTTTGCGAGCCCCCTATCGTCGCCCCATGTTCTAACTTCAGTCAGGAGGTAATGTTTCTTTTCAAGTCCCCTACCGTGTGCCCTGGTTTCGTGTATTTCAACATCATACATTAAGCGCCTAGTACTCAACACAACGGCGGCAATGTTGCCTGTTCAGCATTGCGTATAATATCAGGTACTGATACAAATGAACCCCAACCTTCCAATCATATTCAACTGCTTCACATTGGCCAACATAGGGTCTCCCAAAAAGGGACATTCATCATGGGTGAGGTGGCAAACACGGCCTTGTGAGGTCTCTATGAAATGCCCCAACAGAATTCACCAAGACAGCATTGCTACAAGAGAACCATAGGATACCATAGGGGACAAAAGCCCCCCAAACTGTTCGTCAAAGAGAAGTTAAGAAGCGACAGGACTCCATGTATTGACCCTGGTTTGTCCATTGCACTTGGCAGAGGAAGCCGGGATTGAACACCGTGATGCGATGGGCAATCCCATGGAGGGAATCCAGCTCTTGTTGGAACCTGTCCACCAAATTGCTTTATCCTGGTCAACATGCGCAAGGGCCTTTCCAGAAATCCAGCCTGCAGAAAATTTACCCGAGGAAAACAAGTGATGTCAAGGATGGGGAACTCAACTGTGCTAAATAGGGGTTCTAGAACAGAAAACATATCCGCATTGGTTTCCTCAGAGACTTGTTCTTTTGGGCAATTTCGAACATTAGAATTGCGCACTGATCGCAAATGCGAACAGCAAACTGGTGTGCATGTGGAGGACTCCAATTCCCAGCTTTGCCCACCTGCCCCAAAGTGTTGGTGGACACCCTGCGCTGGCCAGTGGGTTTTTCAGGAACCTACAATCATTCCCTGAACTAGTGGAAGCTTCCAAATGCCTCGTTTCACGCAATAGCCAAGGTCTGAAGGACAAGGATCCATGGTGCACTGGCTTCCTTTTAGCCTCAAGAGCTGGGAGATGCAACAAACGGTGGGCCCGCAGCCAACTGGTGCTGTGCAAAGGAGCTGGCAAAGGGTGTCCAAAAATGGAATGCGGCTCAAATCACCATCCCAAAGGGACCGTCTCCGATTCTAAAAGCCCAAAGAAAGCCGAAATGTCAGAGAAGGAAGGGAAGCTACACTGTGAGGGACGGTCGCTATTTTTTTCCGCGCCTGCGCCGACTGTGCCGCCTGCTCCGATGCTTTCTGCGCCTGAAGCTATGCTACAGGGGAGCCATGCACTGAAGTCCAAAGTCAACAGGAGAAAGCAAACACGATTGTGCAAAACGTGATCCCTGATCCTCATCCGAAATCCGTAGTGGGGCACTGCACCTCTAGCAGCTGGAATAAGGTCCAATGGTTGGCTTTGAACAACCGCTGTACGCATCATCCCACCCAAAAAGAAAAATGACTTGCCATAGGCCTGAACAGGCGGCTTCGAAGGGTTTAGAGGGGAGCATGGGGACCATGCAGTTACAACTGACCCAAACGTGATCCGTAACATCGCCGATGTCAGGGCCTTCCGATTCGATCCAAGCCCTTTCAAAGGTGATGTTAAATCGAAAGGTAATGGAAACAAATGGGCCAACTCTGTGTGAAGCACTTCTCAAATTGCCAGCATGCAGCATGCAGGTTCATTCTACCTTTATAAAGGGAGGCAACCATGTGAAACGGGGGATGATGAGACATGAGGCACTCTTACTGAAATTTAGAAGGACTCCGTGCGAAAACACCAGGGACCGGGACCCTTCTCTCGCTTGCCCAACCTTTGAGCTACAACACGGGCAGCCTTGTGGACCTTTGAGCAGAAATAGGTCTTGTAGGAGTTGGAGCTCGTCAGGCTTCACACAAAGTCTCAGGAACCATACCAACCATTTCAAGATACTGTTTACACGCAGGTCTATGTTGGACCTTAGAGGTCTCTAGGAAAGGCAAAAACTGTCCAGATTGTAGAGATGCCCAGTAAGAAGTGCATCCTTTAAGTTGGTTGAGTTGGGAGTCGGAACCCTTTGCAAAACTTCCATCAGCTGAAGCCCCCTGGAAAACAGTAAACATATTTCCAGTAGTGATAGATTCCCTTTAAAACCACCCGGGGGAAAAAAAAAACATATTCTTAAGCAAATGGAAGAACATAACAGAAAACCCAAACCAACTTCCCGGGACCCAAAACCGTTCCTCCTCGATCTCCCGCAGCTTCTTGCGCTTGGATTGGAGGCTCAGCGCCTCTAAAGCGAAGCCGGGAATGCTGGGAGTGGGGTCGGATATGGTCGGATCGGGTCCCGAGTGAAGGAACACGTGGGGATACCCTGAGCGGGAAAAGACAGGCGTGGGGGTTTCAGTTTGCTTTATTGTCTGGGGTGGTCTTCTTGTATGAGGTTATGAGGTTTGTGCCCACGAGGGAGCAACACAAACTTACGGCCTGAGAGGTCGTTGCGGGTGCTTCCCTGGGCAGACTTCGGGACGGGGCCTCTTGATACATCGCGCTTTGGACACTTGACATCGAGCTCACCCGATAAAATGAGCCCAGCCATGAAGGTCCCCTGACTTGGCCATTGGGGAGTCCTTGGAGACTTTGTGTGAATTTGGATCAAGCTTCCGCGGGGATACGGAGGGAGCGGATGGGGGGATTCCCTTGGCGCCATTTCCCATATCAAACTTAGTCAAGGTGCATTTTGGGGGAATCCTCCTGTATCCCTGGTTCTGCCTGTATCCCTGCTAGTTGGTTTCCCTGATGAATGTTTCTTCGGGTGAATCAACTACGCGGAGACTTCGACCCCGCCGGACCCCACCCCAAAAATTTGACTTCACCACTCTAAGTACACAGGTGTTAGAACATTTTACCGGCAAAGCAACACAAGATGAGCTTCGCACCACTAGCCCGCCCCAGGCGGTCATTGCGAGGTATCGCATCCAGTGCTTCCAGTTCCCATCATGGCAACCACTCCATTGGTAGTAAAGCCTATGGAGGTAAAGACCCCAAAGGGTTACCTACAGTGGCGCGATTCGGCTGGAAGCACTGGAACAGCTGAGAGCCAGACCATCTCCTCTGCTCCCTCCACGCGAGCATCGTAAACCTGGCGGGGCTCAACATGGATATGTCTTTGAGGGTACCCTTTTCGGGCCGAAACCACCGATTCATTGGGGACTCACGTGTTTATTAGAACCCAAACAGCTCGGATCCGGGGAACAAACTTTGGCCATAATGCATGCGCTTGATTGGGCCGCCTTTTCTTTATTCATGGGGCAGCGTTGCAAATGGTGCAGGTGATGCCAAGAAAAGGCCTTGCAGGTTCCCATCGGGGCTCTTCACAAGAAGACCGGTGCTTTTCCCTGATGTCGATCAACAAAATGACATGTCAACTAAAACATTGGAAAAGACACTGAATTCAAGTCTCTACATTAAGATTCAGCAGTTGGGTGACTTCCAACCTTTGACCGTTTGCTTTGTTCGAAAAGAAACTTTAAAGCGACCAAATCTGGTAGTGGACAATAGGGGGACGGTCAAAATGGACACACACGCTCGCTTTCCTGGGTGCTCCAAATGGGGGGGGGGAGCGAGATCCTGCAGTCGTATCTCATGGTCAAAACTCTTTGTGTGGGCATGGTGAAGGTTCCCTTACCAGGGACCAACATCCCTCCGGGATTTGATGGCCATCTCTACCAACCGAAGGAGTCGTTTGACCATCACACACGTCGCTTAAGGATTGTGGATTCATTCGGGCTTGTGTCTTTTAAGGGTACCCTTTTTCAAGTAAAACAAAAGGAACACCAGACACATTTCATTTGGAACCCAGCCTTCTGCATTCGCGTGGCTAGCAGCGAGTGTCGCTGGAGGATCTCCTGAAACTGCGCTTTCCCACCAGAGTCACACCCTTGTTGGGTGTGGTTCATTCTAAGTGCATGTTGCGAGGCTGTCTTCATGAACCCAACCCAATTTCGGGCACCCAAACTTTAAGACACGGCCACGTGCTGGCGACGTTTGCTCCCCACATTGCCGTCGGAACAATGCCAATCAACGAACCTCTCTGAATATACATCTTCAAAAAGAGTTGAAGGTTCTATCCTGCAGGTCAAGTTCCAGACTGGCAGTTCAAGTCTAACAGCCAAGGATGGGAGTATCAGCAATGATCTTTCGAGGGCCTGCAGGGCCTCTGGACCCATTGTTGGCCGGTCGAATCGGGGAAAAGAACTGCAGAAATCCTGGTTCATTCAACTGACATCATCGCAACCAACCCCTCGGAGCAAAACGTGTAGAGCAGGGGTGGAATTCACTGGGCTGCTTGCCCCCGCTTCACGTCCTGGCCGACCTGCCGCACGTGCTCCCGTAGTTCAACGGGCGCTTGTGCCACCTGCGACGCTCAAAGTAGCCCACGTTTTGCACGGCGGATCTACATGACACAAAACAAAACATCACTTGTTGTAGATGATCCCGCAACAAGTTGACCCCATTTTTGGGCTCCGTGCGTTAATCGCCAGGGGAAAAAACATCCCCTAGCCAAGTGAACATATCCAACAGACACGGGCAAAATGGGGTTTATCTTTTCATTGTAGGTTGAAGACAAAGGGCATTTGTGTTGGGTCTGCTTTCAAGGCAAACAAAAGGCGTGATGTGGAGAACAGCTGATCGCTATCTTGAAATCACAGACCGCGCCACTCTGTCGTGCGGTGTATTCACTGTCAGATGATTACGTACCTGAGTGCCCAAAAGTGCTTGTCAACGCAAAACTCACACCTCCTTGCCACCATGATACATGGGTATGGGGGACCCCCACAATGGCGCTTTGTCCTTTTGGCTTCCCTTTAAACCACTCCCAAGCAAGGGTACTCACTTCAAAAAACGCATCCCGTCTTTGGTCTGGGGCCGATTCTCGGCCAAGCTTTGCCCTGGCCCAAACCACATATCGTCAAGCTGAGGGGTTCCGCACCTCGAGAAGTGTGTGGGCGATGCGACTTGGGTTTCTTTCTTAAGATAAGGCCCCCGCATCTTCCTTTGGTTTCCCTTCAAAGCAACCCCAGCAAGAGTACCTCCTTCGGTTGCCCTTCAAAGCAACCCCACAAAAAGTACCGTTGAAAAAAGCAACCCACATGATGCTTAGTCCTGGTGAGACTGGCTGTTTCAAATTTACTCAGGCACAAACACTCTGACCACGGCAAACAAGAGGTTCCCGCGGAACACCCAACCTAGAGAAGTCTCTTCGCGTTGAGTTTGGCTCACCTACATCCTTGGTAAGCAAGTGAACCAAGTGTTGCGGCGGTATTCAAAAACCCAAATCGACTGCTTGCTGGCTTAGAAGGCGGGCGGTCAGGATCAAAAAAAAACACAACCCTTTGGTATGTCAGCACAGCGCGTCGCTCCGCCCCGGAAACGGCATACTGCATCCCGCCATCTTTAGAGGTCTCCCATGCGAAGAAACGCTCCATACAACACTTGAAGAAATACCACAAGCAAGACGCCCACTTTCGATGGGCAACTATAACGAAGTTGCACCCCCTGAGAGACCAACACATATTGAAGAAAACAACATGTTGTACCAATATAGGAAACCTTGTATCAACATACGCAAGGAATACAGTGAATACAAGGTAGGCGTTCTTTTAAAACTCCCTTTAAACCCCCAGATTACCCTCGAATAACACACAAAGACCAAGAGGAAATCCAGCACCAAAACGAGAAATCCATGGACACAGCCAAGATCCGACCTCCACCTGCCCGATTCGATTCCGAATTCGCCTCTCGGTCCAGGATCTCCTGTCGAGGATGCAGAGCCCCAAATGGGTCTGGGTCAACATAGGGAGCCCCTTTTGGATGGTTTACAGGAAGCCAAAAGCAAACCAACTATTGGTATTTTGGATACCTTGCTGCGGAATGTGGGCGGACCGGGCAACAGGGCATCTGTTCGGTCTTCGGGGGCAGTGCTCTAGTGATTTGAGCAAGCATATGGGCGTGCCCTGTGTGGATTGATTGATCCCTTCGGGTGCCCTTCAAAACCACCCAAAAAGGGATAGCCTGCAAAAGAAACACACACACACACACGAACATATATCTGACCTCCAAACGCTATAAAACCCAAACGAGAGTTCCCCTACCTTCCCTGGCTGGGCCGAACTGGAAGTCAATTTGGGTATCGCAAAATTGGGGGATCTGGAGCCCAGCATGCTCGGCTTCTCTTTCAAACCAAGAAAAAAGAGGTTCTGGAACACTGCAGTGAGCAAATCCATGCGCTTCCTGCAAATATTGGAGCCCAATCTGGGATCTCTCAAAAATGACCCCCTTTTGGATGGTTTTAAAGGGGACCTAAAACGAAACAAGCACCATATCAGAGGTCTGTGAGAGACACAGGACATCCTTTCCAAAGTGGAAGGATCTTGCGAATGATGGCCTCGATCTTCAGCCGGGAATCAGTGAAAATCGTGGCGAGGAAAGCCCGAGTACTCTGAATGGGGAAGCAAATACCTAGCGAACATCTTGATTCCAACTAATGGACTCAAAGTGTTCAAACTAAGTCTTTGTGTGGGCTGTGAACAGTTTTGAGAACCCGGGGTCGATTTACAGGAAGCCAAGGAAACACACACAACATGTTCAAACGCTAGGATCGGGGTAAGTCAGCCAACCTCTGTTGCTCCACATGTACTCTTGATTGGAACCCACTTACTACCCCTCCTCCTACCAACATAGCACCTGTGGGAGTGGAAGAAAGGGTAAGTAGTTTGAACATCCCAAGTAAGAGACCTCGTACTTGGATGGTCAAACTACATAGAAACTAGTTCATATCCATGGGAATTGCCGACAACAGAAATAGGTTAACGTGCTGACTAAGGTCTGTTATCGCCACGGATCGGAACTCCTGGAACTTCGGCGAAAAACCAACCCCGCTAAGTAATCCAAAAGGACCTCGGTGATGAAAACCCTTGGTTCAATACGATGGTGACTTAAAGTAGGGTAGTCTCAAAAAAACAACGAACATCATCAACAATCCGAACATCCAAAGAATCCAGCCCAAAACTGCCAAGGGTCAAACAGATAACAAAACTCCAATCCAAAACTCCGCCCCCCCCCCCAAAAAAAAAAAAGAAAAGAAAGAAAAACACAAAACAAGAAAGACAGCGAGAAAATAAACCACACACACATACACGGCAAGCACCGTGCCGGAGTTGTCTCCTGGTCGGCCCGGAGCTCTGCGAGCAGCTGCTGCAATCTCGCCGCCTGCGCCCGGCGGCTCACCTGAGACGCTTATTTTCGGTGCTCGGGGATTGGGACCTCCGAAAACGCGGGGTCCATTTCTGGCTGGCTCTCAGGGAATGAGTTGGAATCACCCCTATATAACCATCCAACTGGTGGTTCCCTTTCTTGCCAATGCAAAGGGGCAGATTCCGATGAGTATCACAGAAGTGGGCACAAACCCCGAGTGATCCCACAACATGCAGGCAGGGAATGAGTTGGAATGACCCCGAACCATCCAACTGGTGGGTTCCTTGAAGGGAGTTCCCTTCCAGTTCATTCCCATACTGAGCGTTTGGTTTCTGTTTCAATCAAAGTTCGGACCCCCCAACATGGCTGTCGCTCTCCCTGCTGTTGGTTTCAAGGTGAAAAGGGTGCCCTCAAAAGATACACACCCAAGTGGTGGGCTTCATTTGGTGCAGGTGCAAGTCCAGGGGTGACTAAACCCAAAATGTGGAGGTGGGGTGGGGGTGGGGGATTTGTGCAATCTATTTCCACCCAACATTACTCGAAGAATGGGTGATGGCCACAGTTCTAATTGAGGTAAGGGCCAACTCCCTCATGGCTATAACCGGGGGGAACGGGGTGGGGATTGGTTCTGTCTCTTCAAGGCATGTTGTGTTTGTTTGTGCAAGGATATTGCTTTTGTGTTTGCCTTGGATAGTTGTGTTCTTAGAACGTATGTGTTGAAGGGCTTTGTTTTCTAGGGAATTGGTTGCTGCTCTAGAATAATTAATGCTTTCTAGGGCTTTGTTAGCATCCTTCGGATGGTTTGCTTGGTTTACAGGAAAACCCAACACCCACCTGCTTGTTTCCGAGAGGGGATCCTCCTCCCTGTTGGGCTCGAAGAGATAAGGGACACGGAGGGAGTTCCAAATGAAAGCTTCGCCGCCGGAAAGCGGGCGTTAGGCAGCATTTGCGCCTTCTGCGGTTCTAAAGTCCTTACCAGTACCGGCCATTTCCTTCCAATTGACGAACCCAGACCACCCCCCGGCTGAACTGGGTCGAAGAAGCCGGAGAAGGGAAATGAGGCCAACAAAACAAGGCCGATGATCAAAGTGCGGCTATCTAAAGTCTTGCGCGTCCAGGGCGTGGCAGCGTCTCTGGGGTCCCTACATCGAGACATTCCCAACTGGGATCTGCTGGGTAGGCTAGGAGCACAATGCATGTTCAACTCTGAAGCGGGCGTTTCTGGCGGGTTTCCTTCTTGCTTCCCCTTGCAAACATCCAAACAGGCGACCCCTATTTTGATTTCTCAAAATGCCCAGCCTTCCGAAACTGCCTATGTCCCTCCCTCTTTTGGGTTGGTTTCAAAGGAAAGTCAAGGGACACCACTATGTTTGGGGGTTCCCTATCTTTAGACAAACCCATTTCTTCATCTAAAGACTTCAAAGTTTAAGCCTTGGCAAGTCAACTGAGCAGGCTGGCAAAAGTAGGGTGTCATTTGGTACGTCCTCACAAGGCACCAAGGGACTCTTGGGTTCTTAAAGGGGAGCTGCTGTTTGGATGAATTTGAGAGGAAACCGCAAGGAAACCATGGGACGGGAAGTGTCTCTTACCCCTCAAAACTCCAAGCCCTGGGGAAGTTAATCTTTTACAGACATATAGCCCATGTTACCCAAAAGTTGAAAAGTTGTGTTTTTTTAAGAGGTAAGGTCTGTATGTTGGGAAAGACACACAACATCACACGACTTTTCTTCATGGAACGGTGGGCAGGTCAATTCCCACGCAAAATGTAACCCTGGATTGACAAAGATCCGTCCGAATTTGCCAGGAAACTGGATCATTGTGAGGCCCTCTCATATTCTGCTAGGTTCGGCTTAAATCTAGGGCTAGCATTCCTCACCAAATCTACAAACTGGAAGTTTAAAGTCTGCCAACCCAAAGGCAAAGTGGGTGTGGCTCAAAACTCAACAGTAGGGGTTACGCAGGTTTTGGCCTTTGTTTCCATTTACCAGGGGTCCATTTTGGTAGTGGTTTTCTGAGCCACAGCCAAGTTCTTCTGAGGAAAACCACCTGCCTCCACCGTCTGCCCAAAGTCCAGCTCCGCGTTCAGCTTCTCCTGGCGATGTGGGCTTGTCTCGAGGGAAAGACCCTGCGCAAAGGAAATGGCCATGGGTCAAAACCCAAATCGTTCCCCCAGTGACCATCCCAATCCCCACTAAAATGGACTGACATGGGTGGTGCACCTATCCCAAAACGGTACCATTGATTTTGAACCATGGCCAAATGAAGCAACCTTGGCACATGTTCCCTTGCTTGGTCTTGAAAGCAACACTGGACGGGTTAATCTCTCAACGCCGGGTTTCTCCCGAAACTGTTCAGCGCCGTTTTGGCAACTCTTGTCGGCCTGCCGGTCAGAAAAGGAAAAACGAGAAACAGGGGCACATCACGTTTGACAGCTATGTCATGGCTTTACTTTGCCGGCCATTCAAATCTCGTGGGCCGTCTGGCGGGATGAGAGTTCTTGATTGCGTTGCTGGTAAGGCATGCGCAGGGGCTCCAGTGTGCTCGCAACTGCGGGATGGACCTGGCTGTCGATCAGGCAAAGCTCAGTGAGGAACGCAGGCGGCGGATCTGCAATGATCAGCAATTCTTTCGGCGAGGAATTTGGCTGGCAGGCCAGAAAGTTTTCAGCGAGAAATCCAACGGGAACTGGGCGCTGCGAGGGCCTCTCCGAAAGCAGAGCTTGGTGGAACTGGGCCTTAAGGAGAGATTTTCGTGCTTCGCAGCCAGCCAACCCGCTCAGCGCAACTCGCCGAGATTGCTCGCCGAGATCCTGACTTTTGGGAGAGCTCCTCGCGGAGGAACTCGCCGAAAATTATTCAGCCTGCCCGTTGGATTTCTCGCTGACAACTTTCTGGCCTGCCAGCCAAATTCCTCGCCGAAAGAATTGCTGATCATTGCAGATCCGCCGCCTGCGTTCCTCACTGAGCTTTGCCTGATCGACAGCCAGGTCCATCCCGCAGTTGCGAGCACACTGGAGCCCCTGTGCATGCCTTACCAGCAACGCAATCAAGAACTCTCATCCCGCGAAAACGGCCCATGGGATTTGAATGGCCGGCAAAGTAAAGCCATGACATACATATCTAAGTCTTGTTTCGACCCAACAACCAACCTGGCAAAACAGCCAAGTTCTGCGAAAGTTTTTTCTGAGTGTCTAAAACGTGGGGCCCAAAATAGGTACCGTGGAAACGGAAAGTAGTCGGTCGGGACTGTCCCCTGACCTCATCCATCCAGACTTTTGACTCATCGGGGGTGAACTGCGTGGAAAGGGCCAACCCAGAGGGTTCTGACTCTACCCTATCAACACTGCTAAAATGGCAACGGCCGATGTTTAAACAGACATATAGGAGACATATAGGAGACATATAGGGGAGCTCGACTAAACTCTGCGGATTCTGGCGGATTCCAGTAGCCTATTCTAAAAGAAGGAAGCAGGTCGAAGATGAACTGGGCTAACCAACATCATGGCACTTGCACGGTATCGCTCCCAACAGGGTGTACTTGTAACTGCGATCGGATGGCTAGACCCGAGAAACAGTCGGTACAACTCTTGGATGGGGACCCTTTGGTGGACATCACTTCCGCGGAAAGTTATGCCCACCAACCAGTTTGGGTGCTCCCGCCATTCACAGCGAGGTCTGTGAAAGGAACAATGAACTCACAAACCAGCGCGAGTCTAGAGATCTCGGCGTATCCTTCAGGGTACTTTGGGATGTACCTTGACCCCTTTTCGACCTGCCTAAGGTGCAAACAATGTGTGTGTGTGTGTGTGCGCTGCAAAACCCTGTTTTACAATTTAGCAAGCCTGCGCGTTGCGGGTTGCGGGGGAAACAAAATCATCAGTCTATGGGCACGCAATAACTGGGCTTGTTAACCACTGGTGGTTTCCTTTCACCTCAACCTTCTGGGTAATTGTTTGCCCGGTTACCCCAGAAGGTGCTGAGCTATGAAAACCCCAGCACAGAATTGTTCATACATAATTATCAATATTGATCAGAGCTGTTTGTCGACCTATTGGAGCATCTTTTCCTTTGACCTGAGTCAATGCTTGGCAAGCGGATGGGTTTTCCCTTGGCTCCTTTAAGCCCTGGAAGGGGCACCGACTGCAACAGCTACCACTATAGTAGCTACCAAGCCCATGTCCTTTTGGTTGTTACAGGGTGGTTCTCTTGGTTGCCTATACGGGGTTCTCTTTTTGGGGCCGCCCGGGCCCCACTTTTCGTGCTATTTTAAAGGAAAACAACAAGGAAGACCACCACTTTGGGGGTGCCCCAAAAAAACTCCTATAGCGCACAATGCCAACAACTGGGCAGAGTCTTCCGCACCTTCTGGGAGGTGCGATTCATCGAGGCCCATGTGGCGATTTCCTGGAGGTGCTTCGCCTGAACGAGCCCAAACGGACCCCCACACTGCGAGTAAGAAAGTAAAACGACCATTCTAGGGGTCGATTCTCCATTCTTTGCAACCATTGTTCATAAATAAAGAAAAAATAACCGCCATTTTCCCTGGGATTCTGAAGACTTTTTTGAAAGAAGGATCCCTGGAAAGAAGGGGGAAAGTACCATTAGAATCATACTCAGCCACAAAACCGTGGTCAATTCCGGTAAAATCGAGTCAAAGAGTGGCTTCCTGCTTCCCTTAGCCGCTAGGGACATTCACCGTAGCGACATGGGAATCTCTGGAAATTGAGGCATGGACGACATTTGCCAGTTGGCGTGTGTAGGTGGTTTCTCCCAGTGATTCAAAAAGGGGTTGCACCACCCAGAAGTAACTTTTAAGGACGCAGGTCCTCACTTCAGGGGACTCACACTGTTGCGAGGGGGGTGGGCTTGAGATCCCCAATTCCATAATCAGCCAAAGCAAACGTGGAACTCATGTTCCCTCGTTTATCCGAATCCGAATCCGAATCCCGAAGCGGATTCGAGCTCACCGGAACTGGGATGGGTATAGTGATGGGAAGTCTCTTTTCTTGACGACCCCACTTCAGTGGTTGATATCCCATAAATAAGCAACATGATGGACCCCTTTCCATGAGTCCGGATCTTTGAAGGGGATAAGGCCTTTACAGGAGCACGTCATGAAATTGCTAGGTGGGTGAAATATGTAGGGTTAACCCCAGCTGCAGGCTTCTGTTGGACCAAGAGCCAACTGAAAGCGGCAGAACTCCAAGCGGCATCACTTCGCGCCTTCGCAACGTCCTGTACCTCTTCCTCGCAAAGCCCGAAAATGAGGTCCACCATAGGCGCGTTTTCCGGGCCCCTAGTTTTGATTGTCTCGGTCCCCCAGTAGTGCCCTTGTGCCCTTTTTGAAGGGGAGGGTTCCCCTGCTAAAATAGACTTCAGACAAAAGGGTACTCTTATTCTAACCTCTCTACTCGAGGACCTAGTTTAGATTGCTTAAACAACAGGGCAGGTGCAAACATGTACCATATAGCTACTTCATGTCATTTTTCGTGGGGGGGGGTCAAACACAGGTTTGTTTAGAATCATAAGGTGTGTTATTTCGACGTGCCTTGTAGACGGGGCCGAAAAGGGACTCATAGTTTTGACAATTCGCATGGCTATTGGTGTCACCACAAGAGCCGCGGGACCCTTTTGGACACAAATTGTCTTTCCATCAATCCGAAACCAGGGTGGTGGGAGGATTGGCTTGGGCCTGTTAACATGGACTTGATTCTTGTTGAGAAACCATACCTGGATCCTCCGAAGGTACAACATTTTGCCGTTTAGCCAAATGCAGAAATGTCCGCCGTCTCATCAAAATTATGCTATTTCAGTCGAAACTTGCCTTTTGGCGAATTTGCTCGCATGTCCCCTGCAGACAAAGCTGTTTTCCATCCTTGCCCGGGCGGCCCAAAAAAACGAGGCCTGGAGGACTGCGAAGGGTCTGGTAGCTAAAGTCTCCAGCTGCTCAAAAAGCCGTACACAAGCTCTAGGTCTAAACAGGACTTTGGAAGAGTCGGCGCACATCCTTGAACGAAGCAGCTTGTTTTGCTAAATCTGAGCAGTCTTTTCTTGACTTTCACCAGTGTTAGAAGCTCTGGAATTCTGGTGTCACTACCTTCGACGAATTTTCACCATGGCTTGCAAATAATGCAATTTGCAGGAGATTCGAACGTGTTGCAGCTTGAGAACCCCAGTGCCTGTATTGTTTCTTGCCATGCTTCGGGCTGTCCCAACACCCCGTCAACACAAGTCGTAGCGCACGTGTGTTTGCGTGTTTGCTTCACAGAGTCCACATGGCAAAAACAAGTGCAATCACGAAAGCGGCCGCTTTTGTTGTTTACTAGTCTACTTTGGAGATGGCTGCAACCACAAACGCGTCCTGAACTCGAAAGCATGGTAGCGACATTCAATTCCTAGGACAATCCTTGCAACAAAATGATCTTTCCCCAAAAGCAGCTCAATGTTGACCCCATATTAATAAACCCCTGTTTATTATGGGGGAGTCTTTGGGTTTGGTGGGGAATTATCACTATTGGAGGGGAACACCCCCAAATTCATAAACTGGGGTTGATTAATATGGGGTCCGAAGTCGCCGGCTGGCTGGACATTCTCGCGGTTTCATCGAATCTGTTTGTCGCCGAGTCGCCGAGCGATCACGAGCGAAGCACCCCGTCCTCCTTCGTGGCTAGGAAGAAGCTGCACCACTTCCGGGCCTCCTGCGTGACACGCTTGATCGGAGGAGGCGGTGAGGGGTGGAGACTCAAACGGCTACTGGATGGCCCAAGAAAAGACCAAACTTTATATACAATTACCACTGAAACGGTCTTCCCAAAAGGTTTAAAGTTCATGAACTCAGGAAGTGAGCAATAGCAAACTAGTGAATCCGGAACTAGCCAACAGGACAACCGCCAGTTGCCGACTACAGCGGCAATTGGGAAGCAGTGGGAATCTGGTGGAGAGCTTGGTTTTCTACCCAGAACCTCACGTCCTGAGTGGATGGCCCAACAACAAGTCCAAACTTTTTCGCTTGCCACTAAAGTCCTTTGCCTTTTTGGGCCAAGGAAACAGGGGTTGGAAAAACAGGGTTCTCTGAAACTGTTGCATAGTGCCTGATTTAATCATGTGCCTTTCCTTTCTCATTCAGTTTCCTCCAAACATGGGGCCATGTTTAGATTGCTTCAACCGGTGCTCTCCAAGCCTTGCGTTTGGCCAGCCGGTGGTAAATCAAACTGGTTCCATTCGCACAATAGCAGCCAGGGAAAACCGACAGCGAAACGTAAAGGAGACAAATCCATTCAGTTCTGGATAGGGGGACACCAGTTCCAGTGGGCCCCTCTTCCTCAAACGGAGAGCTGAACCAAAGAAATCTCTAGGGGTACTCCCCTCCCCTTCCATTGAACAGTGGGCATCTCCCAGCGGCTCCAGCTGCCCAGTCAGCCCTTCTATGTCTAGTGGGGAACTCGGAATTGGCCAAGGTGAGTCGTTCTGGACCTATCCCCATACCAGGGCTTAGTTGGCTGCGGCTCACAAAAATGTACCAAAATGGAACCTTGGTAAATGGAAAGACTACAAACTGCGCAGCCCTGGCTCTAACACTTTTTGAGCCACACCCAGTTGGAATCCACCAAACCAACGATGCTTCGCATCCCAAGTTTATTTGCCCCCGGCCTGCATTGGCATGGCAGCCAGGTGCAAGCCCTCCAAGGACTTGTCAGACCTGCGAAATCACAGCTCGCTCGCACGTTCCACCTCTCTGGTTTTGTCTCTGAGTCTAAACGGGCTTGTGTATTCTGGGGATCATTTTTGCGTCGGTTCGAAGGGAAATCCAGAGTAGAACCACAACTAGAAGGCCCCCTGCTTTGACACATACCCAAATGGGAAACGCGGTGGCTTGTCCAACACGGAGTGAACATAGACAGCCAACTGCCACTGAACTTGACCGAACTGCCCAAGATGTACCCCGATTCTTAGTTGTTCTCGCATTAAGGGACCACATCCAAGTACCCCGTAAAAACGGTTGCTTCCCAAAAGGGAGCAAAGGCATGCCCAGGTACCCAACCCTGCTTGTTCTTTTCAATTGAGGGTCTTTTCCGCAAGCAAAGAAATTACCCTTGCCAGCCTGTGATGTGTGGGCTAAAACCATATCTGGAATGCATGCGTGGATTGTCTTTAACAATGTGTGTGTGTGTGTAAAGGAAGCTAATCTTGTTTCTAACAAATAGGGAATCCCCTATGTCTTTAATCACCCTACTCCATCCATGGTTTGCAGGCGGCAAAT